TCTGACTGATCGTACTTCTTCCTGCTAGAGACTGATGCAGGGCAGCAACTTGGGATGCGAAACTCGGAACTCTTGGCATGACTTCCGATAGATCGTGTAATCTCCCACGAGAAGATACGATGACGACCTGTATTATCAAAGATGGTCCGCGGAAGCCGTCGGTCGCTTGAGCTTATTCCGGATCCGTCTCCGGACATGCCCTTCGACTGTCCAAAAGCGTCATCCTAGAGATGAACTTTGAAGATCTCCCGTCCACGACCAAAAAGGGCGCGAAGTCAAGCTCTCGCCGATGCGCAAACGCTAGAAGACGAATGACTTAATTTTAACTTTTCAGACAAGCTCAGTTCTCAACAATCACGAGTTTTTCGTTCGCTCGTATTAGTACCTTGCCTCCTTCCGTCTGTGCTGCCCATGCCGCTGAATTAAGTTGTTCGCGGCCGCTGCCTCATTTTAATGTTTCCGTTCAACTTCATTCGAATCGTTTAGCGTGTGTCCGCGACACGACAGCTCTTGAGGATTGCGGGGCAGGCTTTGAGGGCAACCAAATGAGACAGACTCGGCGAGATGTAAAAGTTGTGACAGCGTTCTCAGATTGATTGCCAACGCCATCTGTCCGCGGATGAATGGACTGCGGATCACGAGTCGTAATGAAGTATTTAGAGCTGACCCGGTCTGTTCGGGCCCAGATCTTGCGTTTAATTAAAACGAGACAGAATTGGATGGTCTTGGAACGGAACTCATACCGTAGCTGGACTTCGAGTCAACGAAGGTGAAGCTGAGTCCAACGAGGCATCTAGTCATTCGACGGCCGGAGATCTCCGCATGGTATTGGATGATATCAAAGTCGGCTGGCGAAGCCCATATTCGAGGTTGGCCCGCCTAAGGAGATTCATTCCCGAGAGGAATGCGATGCCCAGTTCGTCGCTGCTGAGCTCGTTGGAAGAAGAGCGTCGGCGACGAGCTTCATGATATCCGGGGATTGAACTCGCGGATCCGTCAAGCATTGGTCGTAAGGCAGAAGCGCGATTTCTCCCGCTCCCAACTCTTGATGATTCACATGATGATATGGATGGGGCTCTGCGGCATTCCGATAGGCGCTTTCCTTTCGTTCCCGATTTTTGAACCGAGAAGCTGAAGCTGCTTCCCAATCGAGACTCTCATCGAGACTCGAACCCACGGTGGGAGCTCCTGTCGCCGAAGTCTCAGCCAGAATTCTGAGCTGGTTGCTTTCTGACCAGAATATACATCGTATGCACAAGAGACTGCGGCGGCTCCCGGAAGGAAACCGATGGCTCCCTCATTCCGCGAGTCAGTGCGATGCACATATCCTCCGCTCGGATCCCCTCGATCATTGGGCTTGGATCTGACCAACAGAAAGCGCGATTTGTCGCTGCTCCGACTCGATCAGCACGCGACTTTCCGTTTGTGGGACTGGTCCCTTGGATATCTGACACACTGGAGTTCTGGCGGCGAACGTGGCCCAGGGGATGTTCCGGAGCTGCTCTTTTGCTTTGGAACAGCGTACTCGCCTCCTCAATGAAATTCTCCTACATATTATTTATCAGAGTTCATGACGCAGCTGACTTCGTTCAATTTCAGTTCCTCGAAGATCTAGTCTAAGATTTTTCTAATTCGAGCCGGCATAAAGCGAAAGTGAGTGTTCTCATCTGTTTCTCTCTTTTTTTCGCATAGGCCCTTTGCGGGGAGGTTGGTAATCAGATCGGCTGTTTTTGACGTGAAAACGTCTTTAAAATGTCTCTAGTAGCCGGTCAAAGAAACTTCGTCCTCCAAGCAGCGGAATCTACCCCGCTTTTGCGGGGCTGAATCTCCGCTGGTAGGCATCGGATTATCACGAGGGTTGGGTCGAAAGATTGCTTTACGGGACATCGTCCCGATCAATTTTCGTCCGGAACTGAACTGAGAAGGAGGTTCCATTGAACGATTTCTGTCGACCCTCGAAAACCTCTCTTTAGCACTATGAATGACTGTTTTCTAGAATAAGGAGAGAATGGTCGGCTCAAGCAGTTGAAAGGAAGTAAGGTTCTGATGTATATCGGTGAGTACATGGACTGTAAGGGACTCAAGACCGTTTGTCCGGGGAGTGGTTCAGTTCGTCGGACCACCTATCCCTTGCTGTGGTGGAGAAAACCGCTGCAGCTATGCAGGTTTCCTTCATCTACTTTCAGACCGCGTATCAAATAAGTTTCCTGCATTTAGGATCCTGATCGGAGAAGGATCTCGAAGAGGGTTCTGAGTTGAGCTCGATTCGTCCGACCGAAATTGTAAACGGAGGTTTTGCCGAGATTCGATAGATCATAACGAAGTGTGCAGCTGAGTCTCCAAAGAAGGGTTCATTTCTTGGTGTTAGCCATGAGACCGAAGACAAGAACCATCATGCGAGAAAAGCGGAGAGCAGGGGTAGCTGAAAATATAGGGCGGTCAGGAGCAGTTGCGAAACGGCCGCAAACATCAACGGAAAGAGCACGAGAAACTCGTGCTCGTCGTCGTGCAATTGCCCAGTCACTAGAGGCCAACACTGAAGTTCTTGGTGCGCTGAGTTTGATACCTGAAGATGGCGATGTGAGTCGGCAAAAGTCGGTAAATTTCATGCGTCAAGCCAGCGATGGTCGAAACGAGCTGAGTGTCCTCAGAAATGACGCTGCGAATTCCGATGGAGGTACCGAATGTGAGAGGGATACGGTTTACGAATAGAAGTGGACACAGCGATTCAAAAATATATTCCTTGACAACGAGTTCGGGCATAAACGCAACGTCCGTAATCGCCTCTGGTTTTTCCGCGATCTTAAAACAGTGAATCCTAGTATGGCGATGTTTCTGCGGGACCATTTCGAGGACGAGGATACCACGCTTTTCAAGCTGTGCGTTAATTGTTCCAGAGTGTGGAAACATTAAATATTCCGCCTATATGCATAATCCGCATTTCTTCCGCTCATAAGTCTAATCATCTTCATAGTCTAAAAAACACAGAGGGTCAGATCACCTACCGCTAGCTTCAAGCAATACGCGAGAGACGTTTTCACGCGAACATGCGGTAATAGCTCGCTACTACCTCCCCGTTTTTTTTTTCTAAACCTCAAGTTCAAGACCGTTCACACATGGGCTTCAGGTCTCGGTGATCGCAATGAGAATCAACAAGTTTTCACGATGACGATGGATGCTTTCGGGAGACTGAGAACCTTCGAAGAGTACTGCATGAGCCACCGATCGGGCGCCGTCTACGAAAGCGCAGCGGCGGCCTCGAACAATTTCGTTTTGGTACTAACACTATACGATCAACGATCTTCGGTGGCTAACGGCCTAATCCATGTACGAGGAAGTTTAATCGTTTCATCGATGATGACTAAGCCTAAGTTCGATTTCCTTCTTCGACGCTTAATAAAGTCTTCAAAACGAGGAGCAGATGTAGCTTGTTAACGTTGGGGAACGAGCGATCTGTTTGCTTGGCTTTCTTCGCTGACAGACTCGCTGAAGCTCTGCCGGGACGGCCTCTCTACAGATGTTCGCTCCTAATTCCTCTTATACAAGTTAATTACCTGCTCAAATATTGTTCTTATCGCTCATGGGTTTCCGCCCTATCAGCGTCCTTCGATCTCTCCGTTCAAGTCTCGAGCGAGAGATCCGTGGGATCTCGAGATTTTAGACGGCGGCATAGAGACATCCCGGATCGATCTGCACCGTGCCACGTTGTGGGCGAATGCTGAGTGAGAGGATTCTGCGGAGACATCGGAAGGTCCGGGCACCGAGATGTACTGGATAGCTGGAACAAACGACTTGCTCTTGCTCCCAAAGTCTCGGTAGTTCAGAGGCTAGTTGTCATCCGACGGATTGGAGAGGCTCATCGACAGCCTGCGGGAAAATTGATTTCTGGAGCTTTAACGGATGGATTCGACAAACGCATCCCTCGACTGAGGGATTCAAACTATCGCTCCGCTTGAAAGAGGAACGCGACAGGAGTCTGGGCCCGCGGCAGGATCGACCGAACTGTCATTAGTCGTCGGTAGGATTCGGCGCCCGTGAGAGCATGCCAGATTTCGAAGACTTCAAAAACGTCGTCCGCTCTCTATAATTGCTTCCCAGCTACCACCGTAAGCCAAATCAACAAATCGTATCAGCGTCCTTCGATCTCTCCGTTCAAGTCTCGAGCGAGAGATCCGTGGGATCTCGAGATTTTAGACGGCGGCATAGAGACATCCCGGATCGATCTGCACCGTGCCACGTTGTGGGCGAATGCTGAGTGAGAGGATTCTGCGGAGACATCGGAAGGTCCGGGCACCGAGATGTACTGGATAGCTGGAACAAACGACTTGCTCTTGCTCCCAAAGTCTCGGTAGTTCAGAGGCTAGTTGTCATCCGACGGATTGGAGAGGCTCATCGACAGCCTGCGGGAAAATTGATTTCTGGAGCTTTAACGGATGGATTCGACAAACGCATCCCTCGACTGAGGGATTCAAACTATCGCTCCGCTTGAAAGAGGAACGCGACAGGAGTCTGGGCCCGCGGCAGGATCGACCGAACTGTCATTAGTCGTCGGTAGGATTCGGCCGCCCGTGAGAGCATGCCAGATTTCGAAGACTTCAAAAACGTCGTCCGCTCTCTATAATTGCTTCCCAGCTACCACCGTAAGCCAAATCAACAAATCGTACTTCTCTTCTTCCTCTACATTCCCAAACAATCCCAGAGATAAACGGCTCAAAGTCGTGATTGGTCGTTTCGTGCAGGCGGGACCGCGATTGCTCCGCCTCTTTCACTTCACGGTGGCTCCGACGCCATCTGATGACTGAGGGAAGTCAGTGTGCGGCGGATCGGGCACGGCAATGCGTCGCCGCTGAATTCCGTTCGTCGTTCGTGAGTGAGCTCCTGCTTGTCGTTAGGCCGTGATTCTTCGATTACGCTTCCCCAGAGGGGCCCTGGGAAAAGTACTCCCGTGCTGCATGAGGATAGGTTTTCATTCTGAGCGCGAGCTGTTCTTCGGAGAAATGATGGTTCAGTCGGAAGACGCTGAAGAAGTCAAGAGGGCTGTGAGCAGGAGACCCTGGCTCGATAATGGTGAGTCTTGCGAACAAACCTTCGATAGTGAGTCTGAAGCAGGGAACCGTGAGTATGAAATGGGGGATTGAGAGAGACGATAATGAATAATGACGCTCCGGTGCGACTTCAAGGTTCTTGACCTCGAGCTGCCGAGCTCAGCTTTGATATAAGTCGATGTAGGGAGTTCCGTCGGATGGAGCGTCTTCGGGTTTGAATGCTGCCCGGCCCCTCCCCGAGATGGGATCATTTCGGCAGAGCTAGGAGCTCGTACTCTTGGATGGAAGTGCGTTCCCCGAGACTCCGACTCTCGGTCCTGCGAGCTCGCTCCCGCCATTCTTTACCAAGACGCCCTCTCCGTCCTGCATCACGAGCCTTTGCACGAGCATGTTCTCCGATTCCCTAGTTTTTCATAAGCTCGTCCTCCCCCTCGAGGGCCTTTGGACGAAACTCTGCTTCGGAGAGCCTATGCCTGTTTGCGTGAGCTGCGTGGGGGCGACATCCGACGTCATCACCAGCGACTAAGACAATAGACGAAGCCAACTTCAACGCTCGATCTCTCAGTGAACGGAAACTCGAACAAGGCCAGAGACGATTGCGGATCAATGGACAGCTCTCGAAAGGGGATATCGGGCCCCAGGCAGGAAAATTATGGATCGGTTCACGATGGGAATCTCGGGCCACGGAGTAGCGTCAGAATTCGTGCTTGGTGACCTCGGCCGGTCCCCGTTGAGGGCCCGACAAGCTCAGAGTGAAAGCCGATCCTTCGCGAAGAATGAGCAATGCACTCCCAACGATGGTCCAGAATGGTTTCATCGATGATGGCTACTGTCAATATATCGAAGAATCCCGGAAGCTGTCGAGGGATCCGACCATCTATCAGATCTTAATCAAGCTTGTACGCGGCGGCTCCTACACAAACGGCTCGGGCAGCGCACTGCTGGCATTGGCCCGTGTGGAAAGTCACCTATGCGAGCCCACCGCATGAAGCACGGACCTAGCGACCCTATTGTTCGAGACGTGGAGAAAAAAGTAGCAACCATACTTCACACCATGATGATTTACGAAGCTTATCTCGACTTTGACGAGCTCTCCAGAGTATCGGGCTGCACTGGAAAGGTGACTGGGGTAGATCAGGGACTACGAGTACATCTCGAGAAATCAGGGGATGAAATCTAGAACATCCACGTAAAAGTTTCGCTCCTGAAGCAGTGTCGCTTTAGCACACAGCGGAGACATAAGAGAGGATCTCGATTGACCATGATCAAGAGCCTGCTGCGCATATAATGTACATTGATGGGATACTATCGGAGCTGGCGGTTATTCCTCAAAGAATGACGCATTGGACCGAATCGAAGCTTGCTGCCCCGTAGATTGAAGAAAATCAAACCCACTGCCCACACAGGCGGAGTTTGCGGAGACAACTCTGCTGCCGATTATTATTATCTGGGGCTATTAGATTCTATGTAGACAGAACAGAAAATAATGGATCGGTTATAAGCGGCTGAGTAAAATTGCTCCGATGGCGCTCACACAAACACGCTCGCGATCGCTGATTAAAACTACCGAAGCCGATGACAGCCCGGTCGACTTCGACGACCGCATGTCTTCGGGCAAATTAAGTAGATCATACCTCGTCCCTTGGATCTGTGCTGCTCCAGCACAAGGAGCGTACGGTGATGGTCCCTATTCGAATCTTATCCGGACAATTGGTTCGACTTCGGAACCGGCGCGCCCACCAAAACGGACCGATGACAAGGGCTCGGAAAGAGCTAGGGTGATCGGTCGAAACCACCTAGATTATATTTTCATGGATTCGTCGCGTACGGGATCCAGGTATTCGACCACTGAAATGTGAATGCATGAGAGTATTTAATGGGTTCCCCCATTAGCTCTAAGGCTGGAGATGTAGACCGGTCATTGTGATCCTGAGCCGAATTCATAAACAGGGTCATTTTGATTTGAACTCCGGCAAATCTCTCAATGATCGCTCTCCGTCCGAACTCAGACACCCGGGAGCGCTCGGGGCACGCTAGCCGACCGGACCGGGCAGGCACACGGAAGAGCGCCAGTACATGAGTTCACGATCCGAGTCTTTCTCAGTCAGCTCTCTCGTGGAAGTCGTCTTCTCCTCCCACGAAAGGGTTCTAGTAGGCTTTCACCTTCTCTGATTCTTTGAGAGCCAACCTCAAATCAAGCGTGAATCAGTTTCATGCTGCCCCCTCATATTTTGTGTTAGCTGCTTGGCGTGGGAAGACTCCGGAGGAAGAAGCCCTTGAGCAATGCGTTTACACGACGCAAGAGTGAATTGTTCAAGCTTTTTAATGAATTTATGATGAAAAATGAATTCCTTACAATACAACCAACGAAAGCAATTATTCGGGACACGTGTTTGGTCACGATAGAGCTTCTCATAAGTGCGTTTCTGAGCGCCTTCTCAGAAGCGTGTTTGCATGAATTTGACCGAGGAGCTGAGTGGATATGCATTCTAGACTCACAGTTTTTAATTGAAAACTGTAAGTAACTGGGTGAAAGGCTGCCGCGCAGAATCAGATCTCTTCATCTACAACGAGGCGGACAACAGGTTTCATATTAGCTTTTCTAATGATGTAATGGCTCATAATTGCTGGTTTGGTGTCGCTTCCTCTGCTGGGTCCTCTTCTCTTTCGAACGCGAATGTGATCCGCCCAGAACAAGGGTTCAGGTCGCTGCGGTGGAAAACGCCGAACGTAGCTGAAGGAGGACAAGCAGTCAACGATACCGAATCCGTCCATGCACATGATATAAATTATCATTGTTGTTTTTTTCCCCACTGAGCAGGCAAAAAATTGAGAGTAAATAGGACAGCAAAGTGAAGGGAGACGCCAGCAGAGCTTCAGAAGCATTATCCGATGGCCACAAAATAGTAATTAACTCTCGAGCGGCTCTCGACGTGGCAGCCAGAATACCAGAACGACCACCCATGACACGTTCTCTGCGCAGCTCTGGGTTTGTTCTTCAATGACTCTCTTGGAAAGGCATTCTAGTGTGCTAGAATCGTTTCGAGGGTCGTCGCCATGAGTGGGATTCACGGAGAAGAATGTTCAATTGAAGTATAGAGACATAATTGGAAATGGAATCGTGATGATGAATCGATCCGGATCATTCGCGTTCTGCGACTGTCGGGGTTCGACACGTTATGGAGATTGACGTCTAAGCTGGTACGCAGCCCCTGGAGCGTCTTTCCATGGGAGTCTCGAAGGAGCGTGGCTACATCCGAGCAAGAGCATTGTGGCACAAACATAAGCAGAAAGGCCCGAATAGAATTACTCCCAGTTAGACAAACAAAGCCACAAGGCGACAGATGGACGGATGGATGAATGAACGGAGGGCAGTATGTAGATTCCCATCGTACAGAGAAGACGGCCGTACAGTCGCAGACTCGGATTACCGCTCCCGAATTTACGATTCAAGAAAGCGAGAAAACGCTCCAGGTTCGGTCTGGAACGACCATAATTGAGGCCGCGGGATGGGGGAATGTAAAAAAGTAGATAAGAGAAGCTTGAAGTTGTTTGAGTTTTATGTCCAATGCCAACGGTAGGATCACCTCAGCGACAACGGCGGCAACAGTCCGGAGAAGCTTTCGAGAAAAAAAAGGAGAAGACGCCTAATCGTTATCACTGCTTAATATTAGTATTTAACCAAAGAGAGTCGGTGTTCCTGCATTTGGTTTTCCTTTTCAAATTGGTTCCATCATCATCAGACGCTGTGAGTTTCAAGCGTCGCGGCCGCCGCTATCCGAAGAGGAACGCGACGAGGGGATCGTAAGAGCGAATGAAATGAGCAGAAACCCTTCTTCATTTACGCAAATTACCCACGGTAAGAACTCCAATATAAGAGTAGTCGCGACAGAGAATAACCAACGCTGATAAAGCGCCAGCGAAACTTCGAGCGACGAACTGCTGGCTCCGCATCCGCTCCCGTGCTGGCAAATGCAAAGAGGAGAACAAACGTCGACGACAGACAAAACTATCGCCGCTACCCCGGCCACGGCTGCGATGCATCCGAATCCCTTATCAACGTTGGTGCCAGTAGCATACAGCACATATGAACGCTTATCATTATCTTCGGATCGATGAAGAACCAAAGACTCGATCAGGAAGGAACGGTGAGAATCGGCGAGGAGTCTTGTCTAGAATGGGGATACTCGATGAATCCACTACAGAAGCCCGGGTTCTGGGATATCCATCTCTAGAGGCAGGCTCAGTCAACCTCTCAGTCGAATCGATTCAACGCTTTTCGATGTGGGAGGTAGTGAATGTCCGTGGAAAATTCCAGACTCCGAAACCAGCCACGAAGGATCCTTGACGTTCCCTAGCTTAGTCAGCATTCTCTCCATCATATCTGGGAGCTGCCGGAAAATCGTCTCGTGTCCTGATTCCTGATCAGCTCATGTTCTAGCGAGCTCAGAGAGCCTGGTCGGGAAATTTTCGCGGAGACACGGGACGACTCCCAGCTCCCAAAGTGCACACGGATGGGACGAGACACGCTCGAAGGATGTTTTTCGGCTGAAGTCTTCCCTGCCATCTTCGAAGGCGATTCCAGGAGGACGAATGCGTGAGGAGTGTGTGCCCGTCTGGGCCTACCCCTGTGACAGGTCATTCGGAATGGAGGTACCGAGAAATTCTCCCATCTTAACTCCCAACGACTCGAAGTCTCCTCGTTGAGCATTGTGATCGGGTCCGACTTGGTGAGATCTTCTGATGCTTCCGATGCTGCTGGCCACGTATCCCGTAGAGCTCGCTGATCGCGAACCCCTGCGATTGTCACATCGTTGTGAATAATTGAGGTTGACAGCTGCAGAGTGACTCCTGCTCGAAACGTTCGAGTAACACTAGAGCCAATTACGGAAAGCGAGTGACAAATTGAATTTCGAGTCAAGCAGCTCGTCCATCACCTAGTCGACTCCGGACCTGCCATATCAGAACAGTCGCTCCACGAAACCGACGATTCGACGACGAGTTGATTTCTCTGAGTGACAC